AAGATCGAGAGTCGGGGAGGGGAGGTTGCGTGGGAGCGGGATTGGAGTTGCAAAGAAGAAGAAGAAGACGAAGAAGAAGATAAGAAGAAGAAGAAGAAAAGAATAAAAATAATAAAAAGAAAATTGTCGTCGATTACTTGTCTGCGTGGTGGCAACGACGATGTCGAGGATGGCACGGCTCGGGGACGAGGACAACGGCCACGGCCATGGCGACGTGGCATGCCGACGACGAGCGCGACGGTGACGATGATGTCGTGGCACGACGATGACGATGATGACGTGGCACGATGGCGACGGTCACAACGATGATGTGGTGCTACGACGACGATGATGCTGATGATGGCCAGGTGGTGACGACGAAGCAGGGTGGGTCGGGCGGGTTGGAACCGCTCCGATACCAGTGTGACGGGGTTGAGGCAACGAGGCTGAGAGAGAGAGGGAGAGAGTGAGAGCACACACACACACTCACTCAACTCGACGCAGACTCGACACGACTCGACGGACGCAGACACGAAGTGGCAAAGTCGCAAAGTCGAAGTCTTGGATTTCCGAACACCATGTCGAAGCAAGTCACACTGAGTACGAGTACAGCACGAAACTGGTACGAGACTGGTCCCCGTACCGTACGGGGAGCCAGTATAAGTACCGGTGACACGTACGGTACCAGGGGCATTTCTGCAAAGGCCCCGAGGGCAGAACTGAAAAATGCGTTATTTGAAAGTGGCGCCCGAATTGCAGCCAGTTGTCCGAAATCCTACGGTACCAAAGGAGGGGTTTGGAAAAAGGGTGCCAGGCCGAAAACGGGATGCAGCCGAAACAGCAAAAAGATAGACCAGGGATCGAGCCCTGGCGGAGTCCGTAACATCCAGGCTCTTCGCGCAACGTGGATGAAGCAGGGAACACCGCACGTTGAGCCTGGGTGGTTGGGCATGCCTAACCAAATCGGTCCCAGGCCACTGTCTGAACGGGCCTGGGCGCAGACACTTTGGCCGAGACTGAAGCTACTGGAAACTCGGTCTCACATGTCAAGCAAGTGGGATGTGGCCGCCACTTTCCATATAGGAAAGGGCCGGGCTCCCGCACAGACATTCGGCACTTGCAAGTAGATGCGGCAGCGCTGCTGAAGTTAGCGCTCGAGGCCTGCTGCGCTAATGCGTGGGCAAGTGTGCTCGCGAGTGCGGTCGTGCGAGATGGCAGGGCGCTGCTGAGGGCAGCGCCATAGCCAGCCCCACGTAGCCCGGGCTCGGCTTGGACAAAGCCAGTGGAGGTGGTGGTGGTCTTCGTGTGTGAGGGACAAGACGTGGGAGTAGAAGTCAGGGTGAGAGAGAGTGAGATGAGGCTGTGATGTGAGGGCATGTACCTGGTCTTGGCGATGGTCTACAAGGTCGACAACTTCAAGTGCTACAGTTGTTGCTGCTGACGTCAACAGGATGCATTGTCAATTCGTAGGCTGCTAGTTGCTGTATGATTGTAGGCTGGGCGCTGAGCACCAAGTAGGAGGAAGGGCTCTGGATACATATGTTGGTGGTGACGAGAGTATGCTCTCATTGACATTCAGATTTGGTGCTTTGGTTCTCTGTTGGTGGAATATCAGTGCATTTCTGATTTCTGAACAGTGTTGGACTTGCTGGCTTTCAATGTGATTTTGCACTCTCGATTTCTGCCATTTCGCTCTCTCATTTCCCTTGCATATGGACCATGGTAACCATCCGGACGTCCGGACCGGGTTCCAGACAGTCCCGTGTCCGGTGTCCGGTGCCCGGTCCTGATGTCCGGATGGAGGCCCCTGGGGCAAAACAAAACAAAAAAAAGGAGGCAGCCCAGGACGTTTATCGGGTCCTGGCCACCCCTTGAAAAATAACGGGGTGATTTTTCAGTGTCGTTTCACCCCACCGGACAGGGCCTAGAGGTCCGGACACAAGACACTGCAGGTTTTTGGGGTGGCGGGTTTCACACAGGCCCGAGCAATTTCAAAGCGGCCGTTTTGACGTGGCGCCCGCCGCTGGCCCGTTGGG